ATGGTGTTCTTCCTCCTCCCTCTCCTGCTATAAAAACCCCATTTCGGGGAGATCTTGGGACTGGCCGAAATTTTTGGAGAGGGTGGAGGTGCTGCCAAAATCTCCTCTAAATCTCCTTAGTTCGATTTTCGATTTTTCTTGCTCTGTTCATCTCGTGTTCTTGAGCTCTTTTGGAAGTGTTGTGGAACAAAAAAAAATTTTTGTGGAGTTCCTGGGGCTGGCAAAAAAAGTTGACACGGGGAAGGCGCTGTCAAAATCCTGGGTGGGTCTGTCTTCTTGGTTGGTTTTTCCTAGCTTGCTTGGTTTTCAACCTTCACTATTCCTCTTTAACAAGAAAGAGCAGGTGACTTCTTCTTCCCCTCTTTCATCCAAGCTTTCGGAAATACAATGTTAATGGTTTTCTCTCACGTTTGCAATGACCTAAAAGAAAGTAATGCAGAAATTTCTCAAATGGATTCATGGGATTTGTTGTTTTTTATGATTGCTCGTATCTTTATTAGGAGATCAACTTCTTTCCTTACCGCATATCACTTATGATTTTCATATATATTAAAGTTGGTTTTGCTGAAAGATAGAGCGATTCATGATTATTTATTGGTTTGATATTCGACTTGTTCACACTGCTCGATAAGGTGAATGAAATACGAGGAAACTTTTAGCATCATATATCTCATAGGAATCTTGCAAATCCTGGGTCTCTTCGGTTTTGATTATTGCGTGCTCTATTCATGCTAAGTTGAGGGCCATCATTTCACTTTCTTTCTTGCAATTAAGTTCACTCGAATTATGGAGAAAATTCACCTCTTATTTTGAATGACCAATTTTGGGTATAATTGGGAAGTTTTATTTGTTACTTAGTAAAGATTGGAAGGCCTCGGCGCCTTGTCTATTGTAAATCGGAAAGTTTTATTTATCAATTTGCAAAGATGGAAGAGGCTTTCAAATTAGCTTGGCCATGTTAGTTTGTTGTTTTGTCTCATTGTTTTGGAAGAATATTCAAGTGCTATTTTGAAAGGGCTTTAAACGCTACCTTAGCTATGTGTATCCATCTTCTTGGGAGGAGTTAAATGTTGTATTTTGGTTTAACAAACTTTTTGATTTTGAGGATGTGTTGGAATGCTGAAATTACATTTTTGGGGCTTTATCTATTTCCTCTTGCTGCCCCTAGTTGAAATGCATGTTGGAAGGATGTGTTTTGAATGCTGAAATTACATTTTTGGGGCTTTATCTATTTCCTCTTGCTGCCCCTAGTTGAAATGCATGTTGGAAG